CCTTTTGTGGCTTTCCTCACTTTCTTCTGCAGGGGTTTTCAATAAGAACCTGTCCAACAAAGTGTGTGTGTGTGTGTGTGTGTGTGTGTGTGTGTGTGTGTGTGTGTGTGTGTGTGTGTGTGTGTGTGTGTGTGTGTGTGTGTGTGTGTGTGTGTGTGTGTGTGTGTGCGTGCGCACATACATGTACATACATATATGTGCACACACATAAAGCTTGGCTTTTACTCTTGAAGTGTGTGCATCCACTTATATCCGCACCAATTGGTCTTGTGGATATATGCTTCATAAACCCCAGAGTAAAAGTCAAGCAGTGAGCCATGTTTCTTTTTCTCTCAAGTGTTCCAATAAACTGCCTATTTAAATCTCTTGAACTTCATGTTTTACTGATTATGCTACCATGTAAGATAAGGCAACTGTCTTCAGCATACACGTTTTATAATTATGCAGTGCTAACTCTCTTTCTCTAAGCATGGCTCTTGTGTTAAAAACATAAATCAAAATATTCCTTTTTAATCCTCACAGACAAAAAAAAATCATGTCAGGTGACCATCTGAGCAACTTGGGGAGTGGATGCTGCCTTAATATAAAAATAGTTCATATCTCGAAACAAAAAATATCATCTGTACCACATAATCATCATAAGCAACATCACAAAGACTTGTGGTTAAATCACTGCTCCACGCCCGCTGTTGTAGAATTGTGCTCTCATCTGGTCGACCGTGACGGGCTTTAACCTCATCCTCCACCTTGCTTCGGCAACATTTCCGACATTTTGGCCACTCCACCCTTGCCTAGGGGGGTTGCTTTCGATGGCTTGGTCACTTTCTTTTTCTCCCTGTCGTTGCGATGCTCAGCTAAAATCCTGTCAGCAATTGCCTTGCGTTCTGCCTGCAATGGATATTTAATATAAAAGTGTGGGGGATGATTCAATCATCATTATGTAGTCATGTAATATCAACTATCAGCATATTTTAATATAGATACAAAGACTACGTAAATATTCCTGTAATACTATCCTATTCTGTTTCACATATTAATATCAATACTTATGCTTATCATTATCCTAACAAGATTTTTTTTTATGCATTACACAGAGTATTCTGTTATCTTAAAAGGTCATTTCATTGCAAAAGCAGGAATTCTATTACAATGGACGCAGACAGATTTACTTTGCACTCAAGAAAAGACTTAATGAATACCAAGACTTAACAACTAAATGAAAAGTTTTCAAGTGGGAAGAGAGTAAGAGAAAAATTTCTTCTCCTCGTACTAAAGGATATTAAAACTGATATCTTGGAAACAGCTGTAGGTTCCATGTACAAAATGCATAATGATGTTAATTTTAGCATTGGCTGAACACTGACGAATGAATCCATGCACTCGTTCTGTATTCTGTACGCCATAAATTACTTAAAAAAAAGCCTTAAAAATTAAGCAGAAAATATTGTAAAACGTCAAAAGACAAGAAACAAAAAAAGTAAAAAAAAAAAAAAAAAATTCTCGTGAATCTTACCGTAAAAACTCAAAAGACAAGAAACAAATAAAAAGTTTTACATTTTTTTTTCTCGTGGATCTTACCGTAAATACTCAAAAGATAAGAAACAAATAAAAGTTAAAAAAAAAAAAAAAATTCTCGTGAATCTTACCATATCCTTCTTCAAAGCTGCCATCTCCTTCTCCTTCTCCGCCAAAGCTTTCTGACGGAGCTTCTCTTCGTGCTCCTTGGCAGCATTGGGCACCACGACCTTAGTCTCTGCTACCCATTCCTTTGAGTCAGGTTTCACTTCCCTAAAAAGAAACAGGTGTTGTGATATTATGCATTTTTTTAGATATACTTTTGGGGGGATATACTAAACTTGGGTAGGAAGGGTACACACTAGAAATCAGTAAAAATACTCCATACGCCTAATTTTTGTAATATGTTTTATTATGTTTATGAAAATTTGAGGGAAAATGTGGATTTACTCCTATGAAATATTCACAAACTGAAAAGCTTTCATAATACTTTGTTTTTCACTTCTTAAGAAAATAAAAAATCTTTATAAATATTCACCTAAATGAATGTGAACAATCTCACTACCATTCCAGAGATATAATAGCCAAATTTGAATTGATTAAAAGTATACTAAGTTAAAGTATACACAGATTTTTTTTTCCATTTGGGAGGCACCCCCCTTGATATCCATTCCACTAAATCTTGCTCTCTATAAAGGTATGGTTAAAACAAAGGCACAAAAAAATAAAAGTAATCTTTCTCATGGTGACATGAGCATGAGCCTTAAACATTTATGGCACATGGCTGATTTTAATTTAATTTAATTTTCACTTTGACATAAAGCAACCTTTTCTGACTTTTTCTGGCTTTTTTTTATTTACACATTAAATATTTGCACACTCATCCTTTACAAGTAGACATTATTCTGAGCAGAAAATCATCCAGGGCAAGACAAAAACACCAAACTCCCTTCTTACATATGAAAACACAAGAGAAATAAATCAAAACTGGATGGGAGTTAAGATAGCAGTGGTCTTCGAAATCAGGACCAATTCACATCTCCCTTAAAGTCTTGAAGCCATACCATCAGTATAAATATCGCCATGTCACCTATTGCAACAAAGCACTCTGAAATATCCGGTATTCCCTTTGCACACACTCCCCTGCAATAAAATGCAATTGACCTTGCATACACAAACTCACTTTACTAAACTCAACAAAAACATTTCAAAATCATTCTCTTCCTCTTCCTTCTCCTCTTCCCTTACCATTATCAAAAAAAGTATTCAAACAATTAATCAAAACATAACCTCACTTGTGACACAAACATATCCCATTTATCATTCTCTCTTCTTATTCCATTCTTCTACATACATCAGCTGTTGTCTCTTCCTTTTCCTCTTCCTCTTCCTCTCACTCTTCAATACACAACAAACACTATTTCTTCTTCATCTACTCCTTCTTTTATACACATCAATCTTTATCTCTTCCTTTTACATTCCTTCTTCTATCCACACCAACTAATCTCTATTCCTGTTAGTGTTCCTCTTCCTCCTCCACTCTTCTATACAAGTCAATTATTCTCTCTTCATCTTCCTCTTCCTCTCACTCTTCTATAAACATCAACCATTCTCTCCTCCTCTTCCACTCACTCTTTCACAGCCATCAACCCTCCTCTCTTTCTTCTTCTTCCTTCTCCTCTTCCCAACTATACCCATCAACCATTCTCTCCTCCTCTTCCACTCACTCTTTCACAGCCATCAACCCTCCTCTCTTTCTTCTTCTTCCTTCTCCTCTTCCCAATCCACCCGTTCCACAAAAGCGACCGGAATGCGTTACCTGTTGGCTAAGAGGACTTCTAGGGGTAAGGCTAGTTCTACGCCGGGAGGAAGCTGGACGGTTTCTCCTCTTATCTCCCATCCCGCAGCCTCCATCAAGGACCGGCCCACTTCGTGTCTCCAGACGTCTCCATGGAAGACCTTGTTGGTGATCTTCAAAGTTCTAAGGAAAGAGGAATGAGAACTCTCTTTGTGTGCTTTGTTTTTTTTTCTCTCTCTCTTTTCTCTGTCTTCTTGATCTCTCTCTCTCTCTCTCTCTCTCTTCTTGATATCTCTCTCTCTCTTCTTGATATCTCTCTCTCTCTCTCTCTCTCTCTCTCTCTCTCTCTTCTTGATCTCTCTCTCTCTCTCTTCTTGATCTATCTCTCTCTCTCTTCTTGATCTCTCTCTCTCTCTCTTCTTGATCTCTCTCTCTCTCTCTCTATCTCTCTCTCTCTCTCTCTCTCTCGATCTCTCTCTCTCTCTCTTCTTTCTCTCTCTCTCTTTCTCTCTCTCTTCTTGATCTCTCTCTCTTTCTCTCTCTTTCTCTCTTGGAGTCTCTTCATCTTTCATTCCATCTCCCCTTTTCTCTGTCTCTCTTTCTTTCCCCTTTTCTCTCCCCCTCACCTCTTTTTTTCTTTCTTTCTCTCTTACTTTCTTACTTGCTTACTTTCTCACTTACTCTCACTCTCATTCACTCTTACTTTCACTCATGATCAAGATTATATCCTGTGTGGTACCTGGTCTGAACATTTACAACAAAGAGAGGAATTATTATAAATAAAAGTGACAAAAAATGGACATCACAATAGATCACAGGCAAGAAGAGCAAATGTCTCCTACCAAGCAGTAAGTTCCAAACCTGTATTTGGGCTCCTCGGGATTCTGTACAACATTCCTGAAGATCCTGATTAGGGTCTCGATGCAAGCCCTCTTGTCTTTCGTGTTGAGGTCGTCAAGTAGAACAACGGCTGCCTCAACTTCTGCCATCGTCCTGCAATGGGTAAGTTGTCATTAGTGCGAATGTAAATTAGCAGACGCACACACAGATGATATTTCATGATAAAGAGGAAGAACAAAGGGAAAGGTTAGCAATATCAAATTACGAGTAATAATTATCAAGAATAAAAAAAAAAAAGTCACGGATTATGATAATTATTCCATTAGGCTTCTTTTTTTTCCACCCAAAATATTTCTTCATCCTTTTAATCGAATGGCCTCCCATTGCAAAAATGCATGCTAAGTCTGCTATAATTTTAGCATATTAATTATATTTACACAGAGACGACTCTAAAAGTACTTAGTCACCAAGGAGTGAATTATTAGACCTACCTATTTCACATTTTACCCTCTTTCTTAATTTTCAGAAAGATTCTTCTCTATTTCATATTATTTCATTACATTAGTATTTCAATAACATCATAACAATCATAACTTCAGTAATAATAACAGCATCAGTATCAATTGCACTAGAAAGAATATTCCTCAACAAAATTCAAGGGATATAGACAGAGCAAATCACTAGGTCTACTAATTCACACGTTGGTGGCTGGGCACTTGAGGAGCCATCTGTCTGCCACAAAATTTGTAAAAATACTTAAGTGGATAGTACATGATCCCACAGCCAATGGGTTAATTTGGTTGATCTGTCTCTGAAGTCATATTTTTCAAAGGAAGACAGAAAAACGTTAAGTGTTCTAAGAGAGGGGAGGCACGGTTACAATATCAAGCAGAAAATACAAAATGGGAGAAAAAAAAAAATTGGCACTGAACAACATAGTCAAAAAAAGTGAAAGTGCCTGAACATAGTCATTTTAAATCAAGAAGAAATAGAACTCACCGAGTCCAGAGAATCTCACCTTGAAATAAAAGGAGAAATGTGTACATGATCTCTGAAGTTCAGTGCTTTGTATTTGAGATACAATGGAGTTATTTCTTACTAGATTGTGTAACATATATTTTATTATGGGATATTCTGGCTTGGGGTCAGTGCAAATTATTATTTGTTTTAATTAAATGAAAAGTGTAGTCTTTTCTGTTTTCTTTCTTTCAAGTGTACAAAGTAAGTGTTTTTTCCTTTCTTCTCTATTTCCTTCCATACATAATTTATGTGACACTACAGAATAATAGTGTTTCAAAATCCTTTTACAATTAGTCAATTTTGTTATTCCTGAATATGTTGTCAGTAATGGGTGCTCCTATCTTAATAGTGTCTATGGCTTTGGGAAGCCCTAGTCTTACCAACTTTTATATACAAGTATTTACAAACTGTGACTTTGGGTAGAAAAAACAATGAAGAGAAACAAGCAGTTATATACAAATAACAAAGTAACTTGATATAGTAGCTTATTTTCTATCTATTTATTTCTGTGTATCCCTGGTATTTGCATATATTTAGATGAGTAACAATGTAGTTTTAAGTAATAGGAGACAATTTTTTTCCCCCTATAAATGGCAATGTTAATTCTTAAATTGACTAAATAATAATCATTATCTTCTTTGTTAATCAAAATTCAAAAACAAGGTACCATTTCTTTCTTATTAAATTCTAATATGCTGACTTCTTCATACTATGTTAAATCCCTAATTAACAGGAATGGAATGAAGGACTACATCTCGGTTTCTTTTCTTTTATTGAATTACAAGACTCCAAAACATATACTTTTAATATATGATCTCTGATTTATGTTCAAACATGTTTTGGATAATGATTACATAAGGAAAATATGATGAAATTTCTTAAAGAATATGTGATTCCTTCCCTTATATGCAATTAAGTTTTCATGCTTTACACCTTTGGTTCCGAGCCAAAAATCAAATACATACTGAATTAAATATACAACTCTCAGTAATTTATGTAACAAAAATTATTTCTATACAAGATGTACATAGGGATAGCATGGATGACAATCACTGCCACTCTAACATCATTGCATCCCACTCTTTGTCACTAATAAATGGGGTGTCGACATTTGCAACGACATTGTCACCACAGTAGAGGCATTCCCCTGCAACAATGCTGTCGATCTCTGCCCTAATCTGTTCCCTATCACCCCATAAGCCTCCTGCTCCCGTTCCGCTCTCGTCGTTCGAGATGGCCAGGAGTTTCCCCTTGAGTTCTGATACCTTTTTCGCCTTCACATCAGAGAGGTAGTTCATGACAGCATCCAGGAGGCAGTCTTGGTGGAACTTATGCGAGCATGGGAACAGGTAGAAGGGTCTTGTCAGGAGGGGGTAGTTGCACTCACAACAGCGATCCTGCGCATGGACATACGAGTATTTCTGCTTGAATTTCTGGATGTCTTTGCGGATGTTCTCTGCGGCCTTTGATGCATCCTCCATTTCGGTCTTGAGGTCTTCGATATGCTGGTTATACTCCTGCAGCGAGGAGCATATGGCATCTTTGAATTGGTCGATGGTTACAAAATCAGGGAAGAAAGGTAGGATGTCTTCTATTTTAATAAGAACACACTCCTTCAACACTTCCATGGCACGTGACACGTCTTGCTCTTTCTGGACCACGTGGGCAGCAATCATGAGCCAGAGCTTCTTGCGCAAGTCTTGATCGTACTTGGGCCGATTGGCTGTTGCCTTTGCAAGGTTCGTGTCTAATCTCAGGGCAAGTTCCACAGCCTCTTGGTACAGTCCCATTGTGGTTAGAATGTGCACACAGGCCTGTTCTTCTCCAACTGACATGCATTCCCTCAAGGCAAATTTAACATCATAGCACACGCTCTGACTGTCATCACCTTGCAGTTTGAAGTAGGGTAGTAGTTTCTTGGGAGCTTGAGATGCATACAAGGTAATTAAGAAGTTATGCAACACCTGATCAGTGACATCCAACTTGTCCACACAATATTCCAGATAGCGCAGCACATCTGCCCCATTTCCATAGGCAGTGTGGCAATGGACAAGGCTTGGGAGGAGCTTGATTGGGTTCAGTCTTTTGCCCTGTGCTATCAGGGCATCCACAGCTGCTCTTGGAATAGCCTGAAGAAGCGCCGGGATGTGTTGGTAAAACAGCTGCTCAGATCCTTGGTTTGTCATCACATCGAGGGCCTCTATGTGTCTTCCATGACGCATGAGGTGCCTTAAAACACGATCATAATCTTTCAACATCATGCAAACATTGACATAGTTGTCCTGGTCATCATGGGAAGAGAGCAATTCATATATGGCAGTGGAGTT